AAGTGTAAAACAGATATGGTAAATATCAGGTTCTCGTAAATCGGCATACGCAATAAATCTGGATATAATACTAAAGCTCGTTTCCCCGTCTTAAGTCGAGCGAAGTAGAATCGCACCGTGAACGTGACCAAAAAGAAAAATATGGTAGCCCATTCCTTTAAAGCTTGAAACTATAGTATAGGATTATGGTTATACTGTGCTCTCGAGAAAATCTGTTCGATATCGCGGAATAACGAGTGCACAGCCATTGTAAATTTTTCGCAGTCATTGACATTTAAATGCGTTATTGCAAAAAACTATTATAAGAAATTCATGATAGATAAAACAATGCCAATATTAAATTTTTCACGAAATAATACAGCGTGATTTACCTTTAAAATTATCGATAGAATTTAAATCGATAAAATATAAATTCGGTATCCCGGAACAGTTTTCAAATATTCTGTAATCCAAATAGAACTCAATTGAAGTAAATTTACGGATTAAATACGCAATGAAATGATCTCGCGAATATCACCAAGTTAAATTTACACTTTGAATTGCCGACTCGCAAATTATATAGTTGTCACTGGTTTCGCGCAAGTTCAGCAGATTCTGTCAAGTGACTATGATAATGAACGATCTTTGAGAGATAGCACCTTGTGACCCCCTCGTTGACTATCACTGTTCTGTCTATTACTATGGTAATACCGTCGGCCTTCGTTTATCGTGGAGCAGCTGTGCGAAAGAGCCCTTCGGACCCGGCGATGTGCGCATTTAAACGAAAATTATTAGATACTTACGAAACGATCGACCGTGCATACGGTAGACTGCGGAGACGACCATTACACCAGATCGCGTGTCGAGTCTACATGGAGGATGGCTCGATCGGATCGCTAAAATCGAGCAGCGTCGACTTCATTAGAATTTAACGCTGTGCAAAGTGAGCGCTAAGTGGATCTCTTCGTTCGACTGTCGCCCGCTGCACCTGCAACCACGATTTTCCGTGGCTTACCTAATTAATAACTGCAACTGTACGTGATAACTCACATTTTTAGCGTTAGATCCCGGTTATAGATCAGATCCTTTTCTTGTGCACAGAAAGCAGTTCTTCAAATGTATTTTTGAAAAACTATGTAAATTTAAAGGAGGCAAAAAGGCTACAAGTTTAGAATTTTTTAATTTAGTACGATATAAATATCTTATGTTCCTTATATTTTGCTTTATTTATTTTTATCTATAAACCTATCATTATTTTTCTACAGATTTAGCCTTTAGGTATTTTTTTAAGTGAATGTGAAAAAAGATATATTAAAACACCATAAAAAAATATAGTATAGTATACTGCAGATATTTATATTGATGCAAAATAACCACTATTTATTACAATTAACATCGTATTGATCAATTAATTTTACTAATCGTCCCATAATATTCCAAGTTTATGAGAAATGTTAATCTGTACCTAATGAACATATCGTGAAAGGATAATATCAAATCATTTATTATTGATTACATAGTCTGCTAATCGAAACTGCATCAGCTACAAGATAACTGCATCACACGTAACATGATTTACATATTATTATCTATATCATCCAAAGCAAATATAAGTTTAATTTGAAATCAATCTTGTTTTGCTTGCGCATATTTTCTCGCTAAATTAAAGTTTATAGAAGAAAAACACTTTCATTTTATCGTTTATATTATATTTATAATGAATATATTTTTGTATTGTAAAAAATTTACAATTGCTTTAATTAATTATTTAACGAGAAACGCGATATTTATATACATGCAAATGTCATGCAATTAAAAAAGATGATTGCCTTTCACCTTGAATAATTTAGACAAAAAAACTTCATAAAATAATATTGAGATGAAAGTAAATATCCAGTGGCTATTTGTGATAATAGCTACTTAATAGCCGTCAACCTCTGAATAATCAAACAGAAAGCGCGGCATTCATGAGTGAATACTATGGCAACAGTAGAATCCCAGAGGATCTGACAAGAGGAAAACGGAGCACGGCACAAAAGCCGTCCGCGTGGAGTACGTCTTTGTTTACTCCAAACTATCCTTCATTCGTTTTCGTTTTTTCCTCGATCTTTCTCGCTCACTTTTGGTTCCATTTGGCGGTGTCTTCCCTCTTTCTTTGCCTGCCGAGTATCGCCAATTCTTATCCCCTCGAATCGTCTTGGCAAGATTTCTTTTATCCCGGCGATATCGCGCTCGTCCCTCTCATCCTCCGCTCTCGTTTAAACATCCCCTCCATCTCGTAATCGAGACCGGATCGATGGATTAAGAATCCAATTGCGATTCTTTCTTTCCTATCACCTTCGTCTAACATTCCCGGATCTTATGTTCTCATGTCTCATTCTACATATCGTAAAATCTTCTCAAATCTAACCGTCGCAGGCCCGCCGGCTGGTTATCCATGTCTGACAAGAATCGCGCGCGAGAGATGCACTTTTTTCGAAATATATTTCCACCATTGCGGCACCAACGCTCACGACGGAACCTACCTATAGTTGTGGAGGCGAAAGCAGCAGCAGTAGCAGCGGCAATAAAGTTTGCTTTATTTTTACTATCCCTCCGGCCAAGTACCGCCCCGTATTTCCTCGGGATATTGACATATCGGGGGTGCCAGGGCTTCTCCTCTTAACGCCCTTTTTACACTGGCACGGAATTTATGTCTTCTTCCTTCTCTCCAAACCCCGCTCTCCTCTTCGTGCTCTTCCTCTTTCCTGGTCCCTTCTCTCCTCACCACTGTTCTATGTCTTTTCTACCTCTCCATCGCTCTCTTCTATCTTCCTCATTCTTCTTCTCGGTCATTATTTGGCGGCGTCCCCTTTTCACCACGCACCACCTAATTCTCGTTCTCCCTCTGTCTCCGATTCTTAGACAATTAATCACGCATGCATATCTCCGCGTTCGCAAAATCAACCGGAAATCTCTGTTAGAGAGCAAGTTGTCGTAGTCTTTTTTTCTCGGTAAATTCTCGATCGATTTTACTATGACGTAGCTATAGCCATTCTTGACAACGATTCCTTCGTCGGACATTTTCGTGATGGCCGGAGAATGCCATTTGGTTGTGAAATGTCATGGAATCTCGAGAAACGAATGGTATCGAATTTTCTACGCAGCAGTTTCAAATCATGGAGAGAAATAGAAATATTTCGGGCGTGATATAAAGAACCCATGACGAATATTTGCTTACCTACTTGAAAATTGGATTATTATTACTTTTACTATCTTTTACTTTGATACAAGATTTTGACACGTGTCTTTAATATCAATATTTCACTTTACATTACTATCAGAAATACAAGGCAAAATTTGATTCAAAAATACAAGATAAAATTTGATTAGACACTCGATGGTATCTATTCAATCCCGAAAAAAGATTAAAGATTTTTATCAAAGCCAAATTCCGCAGGATCATCTGTACATAACATAACATGACGTTCATTAACTTTTTGCAATCGGGCTAGAAGTTTTTTTTCCTCTCTCTGTAAAATGCCATTCGATGAGAGACGAAGTGGAAAGAACTTTTATACTATATTAATAACCGTATTTTTGTCGGTTCGTCGGGCATATTTGAAAAATCATTGGACGAGAGATGCGATAACGATAAAAACGCGAAGGCGCTGTGGACGCAATCCGAGCTACCGCACCTTCGCGTTTTTATCATTGCCGCATCTCTCCGGTTAGCGGAAAAACAATGAGCAATCTCTCGTCGAAGGGGTTGTATGTCGCTTCTCTCCCTCCTTTCCTCCCTCTTTGTCTCTCGTTGCGTTTCTATTTATTGGTATCGCAAAACGTACGGCTGCGAAACATAGGAGGACAAAGAGGTGAAAGAGCTATGCGAGAAATACGGGGGATAGAAGAGGATAGGAGAGGCGTAAAAGAGCCGCGGACACAACGGCGAAAAACGCAATATCGTGTCGGGAATGTCAAGCCAAAAGCAGATCGAGTGGATGTTCAAAATCGTCCGACAAAGCTTGCCATTTAGCCAGAATGGAGAGTCTTCCAATGTGTAGCTTCGATTGTTGAAAAGCACGCGGCCGGTCATGCCTCGCTATGAGCTTTTGGCGCAAGTCGGAGAATATCGCATATTGCTGAACCGCAGTCGATTATAGACAAACTTTATTCGATATCGATATATGTATGATCACATCTGCCGGTTAAACGATTCATTGGTATATTTGGCCACTCGGATGTTCTCCTATTTACATATCGATGCATGTAACGTCATGCACATTTCTAGAATTAATAAAAAACTCATGTGAGGTTTATAATTCTGATATGTACAATAAGAGAATCGAAGCCACACATTATTGACATATACTCGTACATTATATTTGTGTAATAATACATATAATTTTTATATAATAATATAGTATCTTTATATATAATTTGTAATATAAATTAAAATGTGAATTGAATATAAGAGTACTGTGAATATATAATTTTGCTGATAATCTAAAAAGAAGGATAATCCAGAAATGATTTTAATTTTCACGCATAATCATATTAACGAAAAATTTATTGTATCACTAAATGACTAAATCACTGATGACTAAAATTCTGCGTACCGAATAAAAAGTTATAATTAATGAAAAATTAATAAAGTTTCGACATGGCATATTATTATTAAAAATCTCGAATTGTAAAATATATCAAAAAATTAATCGTCATATTTATTTTAAATCTGCTTTGTAGAAATTCGAGTTTATTGTCAGATAAAAAAACTTTTTTATGAAAATATTATATTAAAAGCTTGTATATAATTTTTCAAAACGTATATTAGGGTTATTTTTTTCCTTACGGTAGCGTATATTCTTTGACGTACGATATTATAATACTATCTCTAATGCTACTTTACATTTTTAATATAATTTCATTAATCGATATGCGCGCTATGTTTATATTTTAGCATAAAATGTGCTATGTGATGTGAATATGGAATATTTTGATGAATCTGACTGTTTTATGAGAAATGTTGCATTCTGTTTCAGGTCAAGTTGATCTCTGGACACAGAGCACCACCGGCTGTGCCTGTAGCTTCAATTCGTCCAGCAACGATTGCGCTTGTTGTGTACCATCGGGCGGCTGCAGCTGCGGTGCAGCTTCGCCAGATAGATGCGCTCAGTGTGGTCTGGAGCAACATTGCGCGAATAGTAAGTATTATTAAATAAACTACAATATATGGTTTCTTCAATTATGTAACATAATTAATTAATTGAATACACATTATATACATTTTATTTTAAATGAAGATATTTTGTGCATATTATTATAGCTAATTCATACATTAATTAAAGCAAATATACATAATTACTATATTTTGATGAAAAAAAATGTAAACTAAAATTCTAGTTTCCCACTTTTTTGATTATTCTCGATTGACAAACTAACGTATTCGCTCTTTTGGCTTACAACAAATATAATTACATCGTGTCAGAAAGACACGGACGATCTCTTTTGAGTCTGTACCGGCGTTGGAAACAAGATTCGAGCCATTAAGCTACTTGCCGCTTCTCATTTGCAGTCGTCCGTGTCGCGCGAACAAGTGGAAATTAAAGCGCGCGCACGGCGAGCGAGTCTCTTTGGAAACAGTTCGCGGGATGAGGTGAAGAAAATGGGGAGGAGGTGTGATTCAAAGAGTGAATAAAGAAAAGAAAGGGAATAAGCGTTTATAAGAGGATGAATCGCGATCCACTCAAAAGACTTCGAGATTTCCGAGGAAGAAAAGACATGGTCTCGATCGAATGTTGCTCGTTTTACACGAAGGAATAAATCGTATCGAGGAAATTACTCTTGTGTATGTCTTTCTTTCTCCTAACTAATCACTCTTGACGAAGTTTTTATGCTTCATTCATCTAACTTTTTTTGCGTTAATTACTTGAAACGATATTACCTTCGTGTTTCATCCATCAAATCTTTCTTTTCTTTGATTTCTTCTAGCATCATAGGAAATATATATGAGGTTATATAGATGTACCTTTTCTATATACATGGCTAGAAGAGATTATAAATTACTTTCTCGTGCAAGTACACGGGATTAAAATGCAAATGAAAAACTTGTAACGAGAGTAAAAAATTATAAAAATTCACACTTTGATATCTTAACAGCAATATGCATAAATATAATTTTTGAATTTTATATAATAAGAATTGCATACATATATTTTATTATTTCTCTAAATATACAAGATAAAAAGATCTCTTATAAATTTGAAATTTGTATTGAAATTTATAGCTTCTTCAATGTGAATTTTAAATTTGTTTTACATAAGAGAATTATATTTAGATTGATATACCAATGATATAGACTGTAATGTAAAAACGACTTAATTCCCAAGAAATATAATACCACGGAGCTTACAAGACAATATTCGCACCACAATCACGAAACACCCTGCGCAACATCCCACTGGGAGGGAAGCAATTAAGAATCAAATTACACACTATGGCAGATTGCCTCATAATATTACGCCGGGCTGTCGCGACTCGTCGTCGCCCGAATAGCACGGCTGCATAGAGAGCACCAATAAAAGTATACGAGCAAGAAAAATTGTTATTAGCCGCACTTCATTTTTCTCTCTTTCCTATTTTTCTCACGTGATTTCGCATGGAGATTATAGTGCGAAAGCCCGATATTGTGAAATAAAAGTATTACACTTGAATAAAGAGAAACGTAATTAAATTGCAGTTACATATATTGGGCAAAATATTCATTATTACAAATTATTATTACAAATCTAAGAAGAGAGAATAACTGAGAAATATTTCGCGATATAATTCGCGTAGAATACGAGCGACTGAATTCGCTGTCGCAGCTTTCCTCAGTATTTTTACACCAACACGATCGTCTTGTTCCGTTTCAGTGTGCAATATAACATTGGACAGCAGGCAGCTGTTCAGCAAATCGGATCGTGGCTTCGGGCAAATAAAGTCGCCGTATCTTCAAGGGCCCTCGAGGTGTACATACAGATTCGTGCCGGATACTGGACAGCGGGTCGAACTGCAGATATATCGACTGGTGTCCATCGGCCGACATAACGGCAGCGCGTAAGTAGCTTTACGCCTCTTTTTCGATTCGCTTCGCTCATATCGCTTAACGGCACATTCTTTTGCGACCTTCCATGCCCCTTTAATACCGCGATCGTAAACTTTATGGAAAAGTATCCTCGACACTTATATAGCAACTATATCTTCGGTTACGGCCTTTCATACACGTAAACTTACATTGCCTTACGGTCGAGTAGAGTAATCTTGAATATGTAATGACATATGAGAATATTAAAGATGGCTTAAAATCTTTGTTATTTGAAGGTATTCTTGAACAATATTGCGTTTATACAGAGATATATTTAGAGATATATTACAGATATATATTAAAAAGTTGAAGATGAACAGCCGAATGTCTTTCTCGAAATTTCACACGATTATTTTTAATGTCATATAAATATCAAAATTAAATATTTTAAGCTCCTTCCTTTCTCATACACACACATACACATAAATAGCTAAAGAATGAACAAGGTTGGACCGATATGATTGGAAATCGCTCTCGTCGATAGCCGTTTCAATTTGTCATACTTCCGCTCTTACGGAGCCGATAGCTCGGTTCTCGAGTTCCTCTCGACTTTCGGAGAGAGGTGAGGAGTCAGAAATGACGCCGGCAGAGCTACAAGAGAGAACTGAGGTTTGGAAAGAAAAATTACTATTTTCTGAAACTCCACGGTACTTTTTTAACCCTACCACGAGAGCACGAAAGCTCGTCCATCTCGACCATGTTCATGGACAAACTTTGTGGCAGGCAGAAAAGGCCTTCGACAAGCTCTGAAAAAGTTCTTACAATTTTTCGACAAGGCTCTCCACCTCAATCCCTCTCCTTATTCTGTCGTGTGCCATGACGATGAAATCGGTAGGGTTTACGACGCGCCGCGCATATGAGCGTCTTATTCTACTGGCTTTTGTTTCCGTTCTCTGGAATACGCAAAATATACAATTACATAGAGCATCCGTGCTCTCGCTATTTGTTATCTTCCTCAGAATATTATATTTCCATTAAATTTTCAGCCACAATCCGTCGAAATATCGTACTATTACACCTAGTAAATTATGTCGAACAATTAAATTTTATAAATCAATTGCGCGATTAAAATTTCTATGAATTTACAATACACATAGGATCTAATAATTATTTAGCTCAAGAAATAAAAAATAAAAATTTTATTAGTGATTTAACATTTTACTCGTAATAATATAATAAGAAATGATAATATTAATAAATGATATATAATAAGTAATATATAATAAATATATTTTTTGAGACAAATTTCGATCAGATACTTTTAAACGATTCCAACAAATTGATAATTTTTATGTTTTTAGAAAATTCGGAATGTATGCGATTAAAAGATATAAATTTATAAATTATATGTGTGAAATGCAAATCTACATTTCTTTTATTAGAGAAACGAAATGTTTCCTAAACGATCTGTGCCGCATGCTAAGAGCATCGTATTTTAAACACGGATAAAAAATGTAACAGCCAACTTTAAGTCCACTTGTTAGCAAAGAAACAGCCGGTAAGCTGAAGGTGAGAAATATCGTTACTTTTGTCTGCACGACCAAGACCATTCGTGTTTCTTTCCTTTTCCGAGCGCTGCGCTCTGAGAAATTGCAATGATCGGAAAAAACAGCGCTATTCACAGTAATCGTATCGTACAAATCCTCGTGTACGAAAAAATATTGGTGTTTGATTGGTTTTATCGTGAAAAATTCTATAAAATTTTAATATCACAACCTACGGAAATTTTGTAGGTCATTTGCGACGCGTCTAAAAATCAATGATAGAAATATCATCATAAAAGTAAAGAAAACGGTGAATTGAAAATATTTACATAATTAGATGAAGTTTGAAACTTATTTGTGATGAAAATAAAACCATAGCAACTCGATGGCGAAGAAAATATATTTGCTGGCCGATTAGATTGAAAGTAGAATATATGAGAGATATAATCGTGAATAACTATGATGTAGATAACTGATTTAAATACAAGCTTTCCGCTACAGAGTTATGTTTGTGAAATTACGCACAATCTTTCGAGAGGATTCAACGTATACGAATGAGATTGAAATGCCCGGTTTTCGTAGTTTACGCAACATATGACGCTGAATTAATACAGGACCATAGAGCGGAGTTGGTGGAAATATGACAAACGACACATGTTACACAGCGCGGTCGTGTAATACGTGTGTAGTTTATGCTCGTTAAGTTATAATTAATGTAACTTTTCGGGCCTTCCTCTATGTAGAACACCATAATAGGTGCCTTGTACTATTCTGTCACGTTCACTACATCCCTCAAAGAACAAAAGGTTGATTGTTGATTATAGAATGTTATTACATATAACAGATACATTGTCAGATTAATACATCTCAATATTTTCCTCCCCAAAATCCAAAAAAAGAAATGTTTATTTTATTTGATTTTTTAAATTAATTATACCAATCAATTCGGAAATTTTTATTAAATTAAATACCATTTCGATGGTAGTCGCGCCGCATTTTACAGGTATTTGTGCCTCACATAAATCGCATTCCGTTTATATCGTCCCATCCTACCCGACAAATTCTCTTTCATGGATGCGAATCGTCTATCTTACCGCTGTCCCACACAGGTGGACTTTCCGAGGTCCTTCTCGGGGAACACTCATACGAGTTTGATAATGGAACGTGAATTTCGGGGAGAGGAACAAAGCGCGGGCCACTCGGGTGTTCCATGTTCAAGTCGAAAACCGGAAGATAGGTGCTCCTAATCCCGAATGCTGAGCCACGATCATCTCGATGTACGCGCACACATTCCCGATGCGACGCAATTGGGTCGGGTCCTTGGCTGGACATGCACTTCATTCCGTGAACGTCCCTCGAACGACCCACACGGTGCGATTTCGGGTCCGACATCGTATTAAGTTGACCACTATAGTAAACGTAGTCTCGAACGAAAATCGAAAGCAGCACCGAATATCATCTCCTCCCTGCAAAGCCACGTATTGTGCCAATTGCAGTATTTTACTGTACTTTGAAATGCTAGTTTGTTAGTGAAATTATTACTTTTTGATAAAAAATTTTGTTAAAAAAATACACTGTCCAAAATTATTATTCGCCAAAATTATATTTGGTCTAACTTAGATAAATAAAATCGCGGAATAACTGTTCGTAGCTTTTGTTATTCTATATGTTTGTATTTCATTTTAGAGTTAAACGAAAGTAATTAATCGAAATACTAGACTCTCTGCGAAGTTGAGCGAGTATAGTATTACAACCATAATACTCGTACATTTGAAAATTGATTTGCGCAAAAGACAGTACATTCTACATATATATGTATATGTATAGAGATAATATTTTAATCACACTTAAGTCATATGTAATTAATTTATGAATTTATGAATTTTATTGAATGGACTGTGAAAATTTCATCTACTTTTCCTTAAATTTTTGATTATATATATTCCTGAAAATTGGAAAGTGTTGCAACGCAACACTTTATGCATGTTCGCCACTTTCCGAAATTGCATAAATTAACCATAAGCGAACCGAAAATTGTGATCGCTGAATGTGGCAGACTATCTTTATAATTCTCTTGTTCCATTTATATAAATGTATTTCGATGTATCTAACTATTCGCTCATAAAGTTAATTAATTCGCAATAATGAATGGTACGTCCATAGGAAAAATACCATTATATGAAGGGAAACTCTCCAATATTAATTTGCGAAATTGGATGATTAAATGAGGCAAAAGGAGGATTAATTTAGATACATGCGGATATATTTATTCAATTCGTGGGATTGGGAAGCCATAGACATGAAGTAATAAGCTAGATAATAAGAGCTGATATATATATATATATATATAAATTATTCGTAAAATAATAAGTTAGATAATATATATATATATATATATATATATATATATGAAAAATTCGTCAAAAATTCCGCCAGTTTTGATTGTGATGAAAAATATGAGGGAAGTTAATTAAAAGGCATCTCATGAATAATATATGACGAACGCACGAATTATAGTGGACAAAGTAACTCATTATCCGTGCTCATCCCTCGCGAAAGAGAGACATTAACCTGCAGAATACTGAAAAATTGCCTTTACTATAACGGACGCACACACATGCACCGTAATTAATTCATCGCAATATATCGTGCGGGAGGCACCTTCCGCATTACCCATGAGATGTCCCGTGAATATTCCGGCTGGCTTGTTGACGGATATGCATGCGACACAACCCGGAAGCGTGCATCTCATTCGTTAGTCTGTGGAAAGCGCGAAGCTGCATGCTTTCCCGACGCATGCAAGCTTCTTCGCAGCTTTACATTTCACACTCTCTTCCGTCTTGTCGGTCCACTCCATATATTTTATATGCGGTCAAGATGAGGATGTGCGCGAAACAAAATTACATCCCTCAGCAGAATACTATTAAGTGAGGAGGGTGACAGAATAGAACGAGTCTCGCGAGTGATGGATGACCTTAATTTTGCTATGATTACCGGCGACTCGGGAATTTGTATGAAAATCCCTTGGGGCCGCTCTTTTTTCACGCGATCCTTTCTCGCGCCTTCGATCGCTCGTCGACTTCTTTCTTTTCGATCTACCTCGTTCCTCCTTACCTTCTTTCTTTCTTCCTCTAGCGATTCTGTGCTCTTACTGCTTTCAGATTAATACCCTTTTGCTCTAATGTCTCGCGATAGATGTCTTCCATAGAAACGTACGCATCTTTCAGAAATGAGAAATTACATCGATATTTAATGACGTAGATTAACAGTTCGATTAGCAGCTTGTTAAAGCGTGACAGCGATTGGAAGATTAGGAATGAAAAAGGAAAGAGAAAAGAAATCTCTTTTCGGAATATCAAAAAAGGAAGTTGATATTGCTTCGCAAGATATAAATTTCCAAAATCTGTTCAAAAAACTAAATTTTTTATTCGTTTTTATAATTACTTTAACATACTTAAAATTGGTGAATACAAAGAAACTTTTTTTAA